GTCTTAGGAATCAAATGAGGAATAGTACAGTATCGCAGTGAAGAGTTAAGCCATAAATGAACTGTCAGCTTTAGTGACAGCAAATACATGATTATTTGGTCACCACAATATGTTCATACCTAGACCAGTGCCTGGCACATAGTAGACGATCAATAAAACATGTGTTGAATGAGTGGATTAGTATCCGCTTTTGGTAACTGTTACTTTATAGGTATAAAATCTTAGAACTGCACATCATTTGGGCCAATTTCCATCAGCTGTACCCCTCAGGAAGCCCCCCCTACAATACCTAGTGACCTACCACTCACAACAAAGCCACTTCTACATCCAGCAATGAAAAACTAACTTTCCCTCATTTTTTCAACAAAAATTTACTGAAGGACAACAGCATGTCAGTGCGAATGAAACTGAGAAGTCCTAATAGAGCTTACACAGAGTAAATAGAAAAAGACCTGCCTAATCTTGTTATTTTTAATAAACTTAGGCATATTGTCCAAAACTTTCTGTCATGTAGGTCCTATGCAGAAAGCCATGGAATCTATTTTTGGTTTTGTTTTGTTTTTTGAGATTTATTCTAACTTTAAACATTGGGTATTCAAGAGACATACTACAGAGTAAATGGCATGTTAATATGTGCAACCATTGTGCAAAAATAGCACATCTCAATGACATCTCCAAAATTTCACTTCTCTTTTTCAAGGTGCCTCTGCTACTCATTCTCTGCTTCTGCCTTTTTTAATTCTTAAGGAAACAGGCACTATAATGGCATATATTAATAAGGAAAAATGTCCATCTCAGTATATCAGAAACTTAGGAAAGCTATTGACACTCAAAGTTGACCAGGAAAAATGCAAAATTAGGTAAGTGGGGCTTATTGGAAATAAAGGCAGTTACTAATCTGCTCTTAATTAAGAACATTAAACGAAATAAAGTGTTACTTCACCCAAGAGACAGTATTACCAAGTGTCCTCATCATGAAACTTGATTTGTTTTCCATGTAAATACTACAGAATCCTACTATGTTTTAACGACTCAACGAGGAGTGCTTTTGCAGTAGTAGTAATTAAAAACCTGCCAGGTGCCTTTCTCAGCAAGTGCTATTTTTGCTTGTGGGCAGTAATCATAGTTGAGACGCAGGGAGGACAATCAAAGAAAGCAAATTTGTCAGCTGAGAATTAATTGTCAATCACTTTTCCCAAGCCAGTTCCACGTTTATTAGCGGAACCTGCCAGGACGGCCAGGAAAGCCCTGCCTGCTCTACCTTCCAGCAATTTGGCAGAAGGCCGAGGACAGGACAACTTCAGGGTGGCCCCTACTGAGCTCGCCTCATTGCATTAAAGCCAATTTTTCATAAAACTGGGCCTGTGTCTTAAATGGTGGCCACTATATTTATTTTAAAATCAGATTTCATCCATAATACCACAGCCAAGAAAACAGTTGACATCCAAAAAAGCAGAAAGCGGTAATTTTACACAACATGGACACAGTTTTCTGTATTCCGTGGAGATAATCAACCTGGGTGGTCCTAACTCATGCTAGTTTTCAGAATCATTGTGAAAAAAAAGTCACTCAGTTTAGCATTAAAGAGCATGTTGTTTCTTTTTAATCCTAAATTGATTTGTTTTCTTTAAAATATAAGCCTAAAGAAAGTTTATAAAAATCAAACCTACAAGCTTAAGGCTATTTCTAACTCTACAAACAACACAAAAACTAGAAAACTTTACACTCAGGAGTCAACGACAGTGGCCAGTTGGCTGGAGCATCCCATAGACTAAGGATCAGAAACTTCCAAAGAAATTTGCAGAATGGAACTCCAGATGCTTGGAAAGAATGTTTGGAACAGCATCTCAAAACTGACCTAACTATGTGTTCATTTATTCACTCATTCATTCATTCTATAAGCCTTTCTTGAAGGCCTACCACATGGCGAAATCTGTACTAGACATGGAGTCAATGATTAAAAAGAAAACCAAACCAAAACACCAACAAAAAAAACTTACAGACCTGCCCTTGAGAGCTCGCAATCTATTAGGAAAGGCGAGTGAAGAGGCAAATATAATGCTCTGTGCTAAATGGTTTGATAAAGTCAAGGATAGCGTGCAGAACTAACCTAGCTACGGGTGGAGAAAGGTATCAGAGGCAGATTTGGGAAGGATGTGACATTTGAGATGAGAACGGAAAGACATGCGGGTAACAGCCAGGAGAAGGACAGCCGGGTCAAGGTAACAGCCAGGTGAAGGATGACAGGAAGAAGTAGGAGAAAGGTGAAAGCAGGAGGAAGGGGAACATCCTAAATTCCCAGTCAAGAGAGAATGCAGTCCATAAGCACAAGTAAGCAGCTAAATCTGGCTGGAATGTGGATTTTAGGGAGAAATGAGGGTGGAAAGAGACCTGTTATGTCTGTGTAGAACCTGGTGATCATTGTAAATTAGGGAAACGATGACCCCCGGTTTCTGATTTGGACAACTGGCTAAGTGGGGGGGTCCTTCATGTGACTGGGGAGAGAGGGGAGCTACCTCTAAGGCTTAGACCTCTGCAGCCTAGTTTCCTCATTTGAAAAAGAGGGATCAGAATAGATTATTTCCAGATTCCTTTCAGCTACAAAAGGTTCCAATCCTATGAAACTAGGGGCCTTAAATTATAAGAGCCTTCCTATAATGGGGCAATTTTGAAAAACGGCCTCCCCTGCAGTGATCCCGACCAGGGTGTGCAGCCACTCTGTGGGGCCCCGTTGCCTACTCTGATAGCTGAGCTCAGAAGCAGCTTCGTAGCTGTTTCTTACTGACCAGTTCCCTGGGTCTTTCACTGCTCTGCAATAACTTCTTGAATCCTCTTGAGTCTGTGAGAAAGCCTCCACTCTTTTCTCCATTTTATAGCAGAGGAAATATGTTGAGAAAGATCCCATACCCACCCAAGGCCATTCTATGAAGGGCAGAGCCAGGTTTCCCGGCCACGTTCAACTCCAAAGCCTCTTGCGTAACTACTGTGCTTTACTGCCTGTTGTCTACAGCCTCACCCGCTCAGAGTGAATCAAGTCAGGACATTCTGCAAAAACTGCTTACACAGAACCAAGGAAAGCTCTTTTTAGGGGAGATGAGTTGTGGAGAAAGAAGATTTAAAACTAGGACAGACCTTAAAGCTACTGTAGTCCAATGGATCCCCAAATCTGGCCCTGACTGGGATCATTCAAATGAGAAACTTTGAGGATGGGACCCTAGGACTCTGTATCGCCATGTGACTCTGTGAGCAAGGTTTAGTTATCACAAGCTTAAACCACCATCTCATTTCAAAATGAGGAAACCAAGACTTTATGTGGCATTAATTCAAGAACCAGGTAGAGGCCAGGAACATCTAGAGTCCAGGTGTTCCACCCCCCCACCACCTGCCACCCTCAAGCTCCCAGGGCACTTTTTGCCATGTAACAAACTAAATCTCCACCAGGCAAAACTGCTTGGTGTAGAAGCAAAAGGGGTAGCCTGCCATCAGTCGTGTTTGCCTGTAATTTCCCCTAAAATGTGTAAAATAAAAAAAGATGAAGCAGACAGCATAATTTGGAACCAAATTTCCCATATCACATTGCATCTTGTGGTAATTCTATGAAATTCAAGTTGGATATTAGAATGTCAGTTTAAAAGGAAACCGGTTATTAGTAAAGGATAACAGGTGCTTTAAAACTATAGTAAGTGTTGACATTTCAGGGAAAGGAAACATAATAACTTAATGCTTTTTTTGGCTTTGCATGGAAATGAATAGCCATTCCTTGTCAAATCTCACCTCTACTTCACTCAAAGACTGCATATAAAACAGCAAAGATCTCCAAGGAAAAAAACATTACGCGTGATGTCAAGGACAAATAAACTATCACATCAATCACACATAATGCTACGAAGAAATGCAAGATGCCAGAAGGCTAAAATGCAACTGCAATTATATTTTACTTTGTTGGAAAATAATAATTGTTATAAATCTGTTACCTTGGTCTCCAAGCCTTGTAGTATGAAACAGCACTTATTTAGATTGTAAAGCAGTAAAATACATTTTCTTTTCCCTTAAAGTAGCTCTGGTTTCTATATACACAAGCATATCACACTACACAAAGTTTTCTTCTTAGAAAACTATGCAAAAATATTTTTGGCATCTGGTTTTCATACAAGACACGGGCTATTTCTACACTGCCACGACAAATTGGAAAATTAAAAATAAATTGTTTGTTGGATTGGGATAGTAGAGGAAAATGTGACACAATAGCAAGGCATCGAAGGGGGACTTGAGAGTCCTGGATTCTGCATCTAGAAGGCAGAAAAGATACGTTTCATCTCTGGGTCTCTGCGGCTGTGTCAGCATAAAGACGGGCCTCAGTGGAAAGTCTCTGAAATTTTTTCTGGATTTAACATGTGATAGTTCTCTGTGCTGCACTATCCTATCCACCCTCTCACCAAGTGAAGTGCAGATTTCCCCTTACCAAACCTAGGGTTCTTATTTACCATGAAAAATACACACCACTCAGGAAACAATGGAAATCCACTGGCATCATTTTCTGTTTTTCTCCTAAAATATTCTTGCTGGCAATTTTAAAAAAGGCTTTTCTTGAAATTAACAATTGTTAAGTACTGAGGATACTCTAGGTACTGCTAAGTGCTACATAACATTAACTCTCGCAATCCTCACAACCTTGCACAATAAATATATTATTGTTCCCATATTAAGGATAGGAAATGGAGGCACAGAAAGGTTAAGGAACTTCTAACAGTAACGAGAGCACAGACCACCTCCAGGCTTCTATTCAAGTTTGGGGTTGGGGACCTCTGGAGCAAATGCTGTCTACCACGTAGGTAGCACACAGCAGATGGCAATGACCTTATTATGCTGAGTATGTAGACAGCCACTCATTTTATTCAGATATCATAAAAGGATTCTTATCCTATTTATCCCTTGACCAGCTCCTCAGAATCAAGTGATTTTCCTTTCCTCCCACAACACTTAACGCCCAAGATGTTTACCTCTTTCTTCTTCCTCTCTTCTTCCTTCCGTTTCTTCTCTTCTCTTATCTGTGCTAAGCGCTGCTTTTTGCGCTCTAGCTCAGCTTTTAAGTCACTTTTGTCAGACATGTTGGTTTCCTTGGAGAAAAAGGAAAAAAAGTAAATATATATAAATAACCTTTCTGTAAAAATCATTCATAAGGAAATGCAGCTTGAAAATGTGACTTTTTGGTAATAAGTTTGTATTATTTAGCCTATGTTGAAGAAGCAAAGAAACAAATTAAGTTAGAGCTGGCCTAACTCTATACAAAATCTTTCCCTTTTAGGTATATATACATAAATGTCTGAAGAAATACAATGTTATTGTCTGGTCTAAAGAATAGAATAGCAATTTCTGAATAAGCAAGACATTTTCTGTACAAATTTCTTAACAAACAAACAAAAAACAAAGAAGAAAATCAAAAAGGAGCCATCATCATGACTTTCAATTTAGATGATAATGGAGCAATTCATCCCCACACCGAGAGAAGAAATAGGTTGTCATAAACCCTTAGAGACGTGCCCTGCTCAAATTTCCATGGACTCAATAAACACTCTTCCACTGAGCTTGGGCACATGGAGAATTCATTTTGCCTAACATTATATGCATCAGCGAAGACAGCCGCTGAAGACTTAACATGTTAATCTTCTTTTTCTGTAAAACTCCTCCTGAACTGTCACAATTAATTTCATCTCCAACACAACCCTATCTCTATAAAACTTTCATTTGCATCCTGAATGCAATATTACTTATTCTGGCACTTTCCCTCTCGGAAGCAAAGGGTGTTTGTGAACACATGAAATGGGAGATAACACCATGGCAAATTCTTAGGAAAATTTATCCAAATGAGACTTAATTTTAATGTTAATCATGGTGATGATGCTAGTGACAGTGGTGTCAGAAACATTTTTAAATAAAACGAGTTTGGTGAAGACTTTACTAATTACCAATGATTATGTCATTGTGTCTTTTGTGCTCCCAACTGAAAACTAACAAAATGGAAACCCTGAGAAATAAAGAACCCCCCCAACCCAAATTCCTAAAATAAAGGAAAAAAAGAAAACAGTGACTAGCCGTAAATGTCATGAGTACTCATTTGCATATTATTTGTATGCAACTAGGATAAATGTATAATGTATCCTGAAATGACAATGTGACAGAAGGCAAAAAAAGTACCAAATAATACAGAACAATGACAAATTCTCAAACTTTCTGTCATTGTCTATAGAAGGTAATCATGGACCTGCAGTTACTCTACGACACACTTTCAGACAAATACACAGTCAGGAAGTGTGCTGTGTCTCTACTGTACATGTTTCTGTTCACAGTGTGATAGCAAAGACTTGTGAAATAATAATAATGACTGCAATATTCAATCTCTGCCATTCATGATCATACCTTGTCTTCATTTTTTAACAAACATTTGCTGAATATTTCATTGGTGTTAGGTACTCTATAAGGTATAGGGATACAAAGTTAAGCAAAACCAGATTCTTTCCTTCACGGATGTGTATAACTCAGATTTGTGGACATGCAGTGTGGCTGGAGATACTGGCTTACTGATTACTTGGTGCCAGCCCCTTTACATTCGTGATCGTATTTAATCACAACAATCCAAGCAGACTGGTATGAATGTCTTCTTCACAATTATAAAATAAAGAAGGCTCAGCAAGACCTGAGATGGCCTAGCCAATGTGCAGCAGAACCTCAGTTCAAGCTTGTCCATGCTCTGACCTACTATATATGTCTGATTCCCATGTGTGAGCTCAGAGGGAATGCAGAGCAAAATAATAATCAAGATCTGGTGGAGTAGACCAGGGTAAACGTCGAAGAATAGGTAGAATTCAAACAGGATGTCACATGAGGTCAGGAATTAGCAAAGGACAAGAAGATCTGGATGTGCAAAGACCTGTGGAAGAGGGAACTGGCAGATGGAGTACAAGAGATGTGGATGAATCCAAGTTAAGAAATATAAACGTGAGTTGGTAAGAATGGATGTGTGGAGGCAACTGGCAAAGCCTTGACAAAACAGAAAAGTGAGTTCTAGTTGGTGAAATGGGTGATGGGAAATCACAGCAGCTTTTGGAAGAGGGAAGTTAACAAAATAAAAATGGAATTTGCCTAAGCCTATTCTTGTCCCTGCCTGCCTGACAGACAGGAGCAGAAACTAGAATTAAGGCAAGCTGCTGGGAGAATGGTGCCAACATCTATCTGCCTCAGCTGCGCTGCACTGGGATGGCAGGTGAATGGAGAGACAGAAGGCGGAGAATGCGGACTAGAGAGAGCACAGCCAAGAAGGACCAAGTAACTCTTGGCAGCCTTTAGATGTGGAGGCAAAAAAGGAAGATACAGCAACAATTGATTTTGAGAGGGCAACGAGGATGGCAGTGAAATTGGGAAGAGAAGGCAAAGAAGAAAATGGCAAAAAAATGTATAGCATGTCTTAATTTGGGCGTTCAGTGGGACTTCGGGGCACAACGCACAAATACAATACTACAGATGGGAGGAGAAGCTGCATGGAGACTGGAGCTGAGGAACAGAGTTTGGAATAATTCACCTACAAAGGGCTGTTTAAACCAGAGTCAGAATTCCAAGTCCTACGGGAGGCAGGCGGATAACTTGAAGAAGCAGAGCAGCAACCAAGGCCGGCCAGAGAGGAAATACCCTCCTTAAGGGAGGCCACTCCCCTCTAGCCCCAACTGGTGGTCCACGTGGGGGACACAGATCCAAGCAGTTATATCTTCTGATCTTTAATTCTTTTCAAGAGAAGCCACAGATCTGACAAAAGTGAAGTTTATCACTAAAATACTGGATGCCAATAATGTTCAACACCAATGGGTAAAATTCCAGGCAAGAAAAAATAAGGACCTAACTCCAGAAGCCATCTGAGAAGTTACATACATTCTTGCCCAATGGGGGCCAAGCTAACTGATGTGTTTGAATTTTTTCAGCTGTCAAAAATGAAGTGTATATGATCAGAAAAATCACTGTTAAAGCAATAGCTGTTTCATTCTAAATTGAAAGCAGCTAGTGGAAACTTCTTAGAAAACTTGAGTTTCCCTCTCCCCTATATTTCTCCAACATTTATCTACCTGTCCCCAATCCATCAAAAGTGTCTGGCACAACCTCAGCAGTATATTATGGTCATTAGGAGCAAACCATACTACAAGAACATCTTGTATTTGTTGTGATTTTCTTGCTAAGAACTTCAATCACAAGAGGAAGTAAGGTGTACTCCCAGTACATTTCTGCAAAGTGCAAAGGCTTTCTTCCAAAAAATAAACACATCTGACAATGTTGATGATGTAAGTTGGTGTTCCGAGGCACAGAGCCAATGTTTTAAAAATAAGCAACAAAAACACTGAGGGAACTTTTAAAAAATCATATTAAGTAGTGATGTTTCAAATAATACTAGTTACTCTTTGAATGTAGTGGAGCTACGATGTTAAAAGACAGAACTATAGAGGGCCTTCTACTTATTGACGTTTAGATACATTCTAAAATAGACACTGAGTATCAATCCCTAGAAGACTAAGAAATCTCCAGGGAACGTTTCACAAAGGGTTTGGAAAGTACACTTTAGAATAAATGAATGAGCCTCTACACACAGTACAGTGGCTTAAACAGTGGCATTAAGTGCAGTGTCAGCACTAAACTCCCCGGGTTTCGGGGGTGGGAGGGGGCTTGCTAGTCCGACCCACTGAATCTCCCTGCGTATCAAGCAAAGCAAATTGAGTAGCAAAGCATGAGGGACATGAGTTATAGAGATTCCTGTGCCTAATGTAGGTCACTGCAAAGGCAGTTCTGATGCTCTCTGTCTAAGAAAACAAGAGTCAAAGCTACCTGCTGCTAATTATTGCTCAATTACTTCACACACATAAAAAGCTGGTCTCTTTCATCTACAAATGGCACGGGATCAAGTAGATAAATCAAACCCACCTCTAAATGTAGAGTCCCTCTCTATCTGATCATCAGCATTGTTCTATCATCCACCAATCAACTCCAGGCTTGGCCCCACCCAGGCTCAAGAACAGTCCCAGCTCAGCCTCAGCCCAGCTCCATCCGTTCCGGGGTCAGGTGATGTGTGTTTGTGCTGCCTGCTCAGCAGCCCTCAGAGCAGAGTCCCCACTGGTGCCATCTCCCCTGCCTCATTCTTTCACCCCACCCTCATTGCCAAATTCACCCTTCCTATCTCCCTCCACTGCTGCACCTCAGCTCTTGCTTCCCTGCAAACCCTCCAGCTATACACAATCCCCTTTCACCTCCTGTCTGTCTTCGTCCGCCATGTTACACCCACCCCAAAATAGATACCTCAAAGTTCAAATCAGCTACTTCATTTGCTCTGGACTCCATACACCAATCTCCAACCTCCCTAACTTTCTTTTTCAAATTTCAACCCTCTACCACTGATTTCCCTTTTGTTCCCTGGTTCACCCTTTATCCCCTGCGTAGTGTTTTAACAACTCATCTCCACCCATCCTCCCAAATATGTCAGTTTTGATAACTTTGGCTTCAGTCCATCTCTGATCTCAGTAAACCGCCATTCTTTTGATCAAACAAATGTGTCAATATAAGTAAAGGGCTTAGAAATGTGCCTGGCAAATACTAAACACTCAAGAAAACTTGTTCCTCCTCCTCTACCTCCTCTTCCTGTTCTTTTTCTATTATTATTACTATTATTTTTACCCTGCCAACTCTTTCCCACACGATCAATTCCACTCTAATTCAATAACCAAGTCATTACTCAAAGTTCACTGTAATCATTTTTAAAGTGTTACTGTGAGAATTACATTAAAGGCATAGTACGTTACTGATTTCATAGCAATATATTCAGAGTGATGAAACCCAATGTATGGGATTCTAAGGCACTTCAGAGCAAGCAGAAGGAGCTTCTCAATCTAAATGGGATAAAATGGAAGGCATGTGGGAAAAGAGGTGTGTCTCAAAGAAAAAAATTTTAAATTAAATGTAGTCATTTAATTTAATAGTAGAAAATTTCTTCTCAATTTTTCTGCTGAACATAGGAATTATATATCAAGCTATGCCCAGCAGGCATTTGCCTTATCTTACCCACTTCCCCTGGACAGTG